CAGTTGAATGTTAAGAAGACACTACAGAAGGTCTACACAGTGTTAGCGTTGACCATGAAGAAATTGAAATAGTGAAAGATTTTGTATATCTTGGTTCAGTCGTCAGTACAGCCAAAAAAAATCAGAAGAAGACTGAGACTAGGAAAGTCCCACTCTTGTGTTTCCAGTCACCATGTATGGGTGTGAAAACTGGAGAGTAAAGAAAGGTGACAGGGGGAAAAATTGATCCATTTGAGATGTGGTGCTGGAAGAGAGCTTTGTTAATGTGGTGCTGGAAGAGAGCTTTGTAGATACCTCGGACTGCCAGAAAGACGAACAAGTGGATCCTAGATCAAATCAACCAAAACTATTTCTGGAGGCAAAAAATATTGAAACTGAGGACGAACAAGTGGATCCTAGATCGAATCAACCAGAACTATTTCTGGAGGCAGAAATGTTGAAACTGAACCTGTCCTACTGGTTTTGGATTAAAGATAAGAAAATATTTGACTATTTCATGATTAAGAATGTTGGACTAGAACTTCATGTGGAGATTTTTAACCTACGTTTTCTGAGTCCCAGTCCAGCCTTCTATATACAATACCATATTGGTTCTTATTCCACCAGTTAATCAGGTATGTCATCCTGCCACTTGTATGGAGGACCATCAACCCATACTATCTCCTGGGAATTTGGGGTCTTCAGTTAATCTTTTCCCTCCTTTCTGAAGAGTAACACTGATCAAGATGACATAACTCTTAATAAATACATCTCCACACACCGCAATACAGGTCTCAGCGCAGTCTACAAAAAGTGCAACGTGAATCTCACTGCTGTCCCAAACTTTTTCATCAATGTACCTTTTGTTTACATCTCAATCAATTTTGCAACTGTCAGATAAATTTTGTGTACAAAATAGGAATTGATTACATCTGGAATGGAAATACACCAAGGGAATGCTTCAGCAGACCTACGTAAATATATAACAATCCCTTTGGTTATTTGCGGCCTCTAATTGTAAATTGTAATTACCTTCTTTTCTTGGGGCAGAAAGTCCTTGTGTTGGCTGTTTTTAAGGAAGGCTACATAGTAGGGGATTTATTTGTTTCTGTGCTTTTCTGTTTGTTTAGTACAACTATAAATAGATGAAACACATTATTACACACCCGTTCAACAACCACCTGTGTTGAGCAGTTGGTTTTTTCCCCGAAGAAGTTATTTTGTTTATGGAAGGAACTCTGCCCAGAGTTTTAGAATTTGCAGTGATCAAATTATATGTTGCTTTCAATTAGTAATTTTTTTAAAAAAAAGGTCTAAGTTGTTCCCCACAGCTTTTCATCTTTCGCTGTTGCTTTTTCTGTTCTGCTGCTCCCTTTTCAAATAGGAATATATGTTCAGTACTAGAGGTGTACAGATTTATGGTTTGGGGTACAACCTCTAGAATTTGCCAGGTGACATCCAGAAAACCTACGAATCTGCATAGCTCTAGTCAGTACAAAGGTGGCCAACTCACAGCATAGGCAGTCAACACCTATGGTAAACCTGAAGAAATGGGTGCAAAATTATTTTATTTATTTATTTGAAACTTCTACCTTTCTCCTAAAAGAGACCCAATACATTTCAAAAAGCAGGTAAGCCCAGAAGAGTTCTCACAGGACGTGTGACATACAAACTCTGGTCTTCATTTGAACCCACCTGAAATGAACATTGCATTTTGAAAAATGGATCTTGGAAATGCTAATTGTCACTGTGTTGGCTGCAGAATTCTGGGCATTGACGTTCAGAATTGTGAGGTTTCCAAGCATTGATTTTTAAAGTCCAAGATTCTTCTCCAAATGAAATAAAAATCTGAGCCAGAGAAGAATCCCCAGCTACTCCCTCTCGTAATCCATACTGCCCATGGCTAACATAGATGAATAAATAAAATGAATGATGAGCACACTCGAATGTGTCCACCCAGACATGGTAAGCTACATGGACAAGGGACGTTCTTAATGACACGCACATCGCTCAGGAGCTACAGTGTTGTTGTCAACCTCTCTGTGACTCTCTTCACATTGAAGAGAAAGGTAGATGATGAACATGGAAACATACCGGATTTGGCCTCTCAGCAAAATATCACAAGCCTTGCTTTTGGCTTAGGTTTCCCATATGGTTTAATTTTCCAGGTTTGCCCAGGTTTTGGAAATTCTGTCAGAGTTGGAATCAGCAGTTTTGGCATCTGTGGCAAATGGTACCTGCTCCCACCTTTTCTGCCCTGAGGCAGGAGCATGAGTTCCTTATGGAGAAAAAACAGGGTGCCTTTTACATTTTTGTGCCACCCAGTGAGGGATGAAAGAAGGCTTTGGCTTGGCTTTGGTATTTATAAACACCATGTGTTGTTGTGTCCATTCTTGCCAATGGCAACCTTTTCTGGGCAGAGTGGACTCCGAAAGCCTTCCTAAATCCTACAGCCAGCATGGCTGCTACGTAGGATCCAGGGAGCTGTAAGCCCCCAAAAAGCAACTTTTCTTTTCTAAACTTAGTCTATTTATTTACTTCCTTTATTTTAAGATAGATAGATAGATAGATAGATAGATAGATAGATAGATAGATAGATAGATAGATAGATAGATAGATAGATAGATAGATAGATAGATAGATAGATAGATAGATAGATAGATAGATAGATTTCCATCTTTCCAGTGTTGTTCATTCACGGGGTGGTTGTTTCTGTAGTTGATGTTTGCAAATAAGAATGGGCAATTCTGACAGAACTAGGGGCCCGTTTTATGCTCTGTGCCCCTCTGGTGGCCACATGGACCATGAATTAATAATTATATCAATAGCAGGAGCAAGAAAAATCAGACAGAGGAATAGGAATGTAAGAATCATAGGCAGATCATAGACCAAATGGAAGGACGGCACCACACCCCAAAGATTAGCATATAACACAGAATGAGCCCCCTAAGAAAAGAAGACAAAATGGTCCCTATTGGTTCAGCGCATCAAGTCCAGAACCCCATTTATCACAACTAGAGGCTGAAAAGTTACTCCTTTCAAAGTCATAGGCTCCATGAGCTAACAGAAGCCATGCTGGTTGAAAGGATTCTGGGAGCTGGCACCCCAAAACCAACCAACCAACCAACCAACCAACCAACCAACCAACCAACCAACCA